ATGCTGGCAGTGGCTGGTTTGTGTTGTGCTGATCAGTGATGTTCAGTGCATCGTGGTTTCAGGTAGTGACAATCTAGGGCTTCAGGTGTGCACATCAGGCTTTGGTTGAGCTCCTGCCTGTGCCCAAAGGCGAAATATAGTCTATTACACTCTCATGCCAAGACATTTGTAGTAGATTTCTCATAGTGAAATGAAGGAGGTGCTGGCTCTACCTCTTGTCTATCTCATATTGTTGGGAAAAACACAAGCTGGAGTTGAGATCCTTTTCCATTGAAAGAGCTATGTTTTTAGATGAGCTTGAGAAACAGCCTGTACCTTTCTGCTTACATCCTGTCTGCACCCATTCCTCTCTGCAAAGGGAAGGCTGTACCTTTTTAGGAGGGAAGTTAATGCAACAGAATTCCCACCTGAAAGAACCAAGGCATTTGCTTTAGCAAATGAGAAGTCTTTTTGCAGCCTGGCAAGGAAACTGTGTCCCTAAATTTGCCATCACTAGCAGTTTACTGTGACCCCTGCATTTCTTCTGTTGTTAGGGAACAGCCAGGCACTCTGGAAGCTGAAGTTGCAGTCTGTCCATAGAAGAGATGTCACACGTGTGCGAGTTCACACGCACTTGGTGCCCTTCACTTGCATTTTCTAGCCCTGCGGCTACCATGGGCCTCAATGGGAAGTTTGGCCTCTGAGTGCACTTCAGCCTTAGGTTCTGTTGCTGCACCTGCAAAATGAGACCTTCATTAGTGTTAATTGTAACAGCAGTTAACCAAGAACTGGAGGAACAGGCTTGGGGGCAATCCGGAGGATAGCAAGGGCCTGGGATGTGGAGTGGCTGCTGCACATCTGCTGGCAAGAGCCCCGTGTCCCTCTGAGAAGAGCTGCCTCTTTCCCCGGCTTAGCACTAGCTCCTCATTACCATTTCAAAGGCAACAGACTCCTCTACACACGCTTCACAGAGGCAGGGGAGTTTATTACAGCAGCTTTTCCTCCCATTTGCCTGCCTCTGTTCCTACTTCCCAAGTCGGGTTTTGAGTGTGGGGTTTGAATAAGCCCCAAACCACAACAGGATGGCAGACAGAGTGGGTGCCTGTCATATCCATATCCTCAGAGCTTTCAAGTAAAGCTCAGCTTCCCTTCAGCTGAGTGCACCGGGGAGAGCGTGGAGGTGGATGTGACAACCTTATAAGCTCTTTCCAGCTGTGTTTTCTTCTAGTGGGATGGCAGGATAATGGGTGACAAACGGGAAGAGACATCGCTCCTTCCAGAGCCCAAATTGCACAACAAATTAAAATGCTCCCTGAGGGCACAGTTGCTCCCTCTTCAATCAATACATGTAAAACCAAAGACAGCCTCCATGGATTTCAGTGCAAGCTGCAGCTCCTGTCAGTGTTCAGACTGGAGACTGTAACTGTGGGTAGTAATTGTCATGGGCCAGTCTGCGCTCATCAAGGTGGGGAGGCTCATTTAGGTGCAGTAAAACCCCAGGAGACTGGAAGCTACTCCCCACTTGGTTCATGAAAGCTCAAACCTGCTGCATTCTATAGGAACCAGCAATAATCCTCACTGTTTGCTTTACAAAAGCTTTTTATGTACATAATATCCTCAGAGAGCTATTTAGTTCTACCAAAATGAACTTAAAGTTTGTTCTTCCACATCTTGTTGTTCTGTTAGCATATCTGGGAGCTAAGTGTTCCACAGTTGCCATAATTTCACCCTGTAAATAGCCCTGTAGGTCCTCTGAACAATGAAGCACAGCTGGTAGAGCTTGAGAGCACCTGGAGCACACTCCTGGAGTTGGATCATTCATCTCATTCTAACGTAAGGGTCTAATTTAGGTGCCTTCTGATGCTACCTGCATCAGTTAGAGGGGAAATAGCGTGGCTGTTTGGATTTGGACCTGTGCATCCTAAATCGCAGTGCCTATGTTGAATCCCATCCCAACCACTGAGAGAGCTTGGAAAAGCAATCTTTCTGTGTTTCCTTGTTCACATCCTAGCTAAGAGTATACCCAGACTGTGTGTACTGCCATTCTGTGTTACACCTGCCCTTCTGTAGCAAGCTTGTACTTGGAGTTCTCTAACATACTTCAAACTTGCGCAGCCATTGACAGCTTTTGAAGCACTGCAGCAAGGGCAGGTTGGTGTCACTGCCTCACTGAAGTGTAGATTCCAGCTGGAAAACTCTCTCCAGGTCTGGATTGCCTTTAATCAGTACAAATTGGAAAATGTAATGGCTGCTCCATCCCTGGCAGTGCTCAAGGCCAGGTTGGATGGGGCTTGGAGCAAGCTGCTCTACTGGAAGGTGTCCCTGCCTGTGGCAGGGGGTTGGAACTGGATGAGCTTTAAGGTCCCTTTTAACCGTAGAACCATTCTATGGTTCTATGAAACACTATATGTAGCAATGTGCTAGTTTACAGTGTAAGAATAAGGACACAAAAGTCTACCAAGCTGCACTCATATGCACCCACGTAGAAGGTACTAACTGTCTGGTGATTAAATAAGTGGCTCCTCAAAAACCTTTAAGGTTGATTGAAGTAGGTACCTTCAAAGTGCCCTCTTTTGTTGCCTTTTCTGTGCTCTGTATGCTGTCACAGGTCCTGTGACAGGCAGCAATTACAGCACCCTAATGCATTTAGGACGTGTGCAATCCCAATCTCCAAACCACCATCTGGGCAGAGGTGTAATCTGCACAGCACTAATTGCATCATGTAGTGGCAGAGCTGTAGCAAAGAGAAGTGCCAAAATTATATGCCTGACAAATGCCATTAGGGAAGAAGGCTTTCTTCCCAGCTGGATAATATGTCGGGAATCGGGGATTTCTGCAGCCTCACAGAGCGGTGGGAGCTTGGAAAACCCACATTCGGCTTCAAACCCTCCCTGTGCCCCACTTGTGTCAGGGTTGGTGGGGAACCGGTGGAAGGACACGGTGCCAGCAGATGGCAGTGCCTGTTAGCAGTTTTATTTGCCTTGCATGAGGCTCAGTGCCCCCCCGTCCACCTGAGGGCTGGCAACTGGGTTCCCAGTTGAAGCGCACTGGATAAGTGCATGTGGGAGCAGGGAAGGCTTCTCCCTGCCACACAAGCTTTGCAGAGCCTCTGTTCCAGGCTGGACAGCTTTTCCTAGCACAAAAGTTCATTCTAAACCTCGTTAAAAGACACAAAATGAACGAAGAAGCAGAGCTGATGCCTTTCGGAAGGTGACACTTCCTTCATGCTGATGAAACAGCACCCAAGCACTCATCTGAGTGCCCATGTTATGGTTCTGGGGTGACTGACTCTCCTGCCATGTGAATTAATGCTTAGTGCTTTTGAAGTCTGAACACTTATTGCCCCCCCCCCCCCCCCCCCCAAACCACCCAATCCAAACTGTGAATGTACTCCTCAAATAACTCTTCTATAAGGATAATTCATGTATCATTCTCCCGAAAGGTAAAATAAATACCACTGAAAAGAGTGTTCCTTGCAGTTCTGAGCATGCAGATCCGATGTGATTTCATAGGATTTAATGAACAGTTTATTGCTTTGCCTTTTGCTTTCATTGAGAATAGCTTTACTGCTGGTGTGAATTCTGTTCTCTGTGCTGTTCACAACCTAGATGGGGTATTGCTGTCCTGATGCCTGTGAAGCAGGAGCCAGACTGGCTGGTTGGATCTCACTGCCCATACTGTGGTGAAGTGGGAAATACAAGTTAAGCCAAATTACAGCTGCAAAACTGATTTTTAATGGCCTAAGTCCTTGGTCTGGTTCCAGATTCATGTCCCAGATCCAAACTCCACGTACAGAGAACGAGAGCCCTGGTGAAAAGCACCATGTGTATAGAGATGTGTGTAGAGATTGATTCTTAACAAAGAGCAGCATGACTATTAATGGTATTTAGAGCTGTGGCTATTTCCCTTTCTTTAGTGTGCCTGTCTTTGCATTGTCCCAGCCTAGCTTCCATTAAATACAGAGTTCTATTTATTCTAGGTTGAGGATGGTTATGAATCAGATCCTCTCATCTCCAGGAAGTTCCACTTGTTCAATTTGTTTCCTGATCCACACCAAGAACGCTAATAATAAGTCGCAAGACGTCCATACAGTCAAATGAAGATGTCATTCCAATGCTGACATGTTCCATTAGCAACAGGATAATTTAAAAACCCTAAAAGATGAAAGTCTTTCAAAGCAGAACATGGGAAAAGAAAAAGCTTTTAGGTTCCAGCAATGCTGACCTATCCCTGGGCAGTGCTTTGGTTGTGACAAGTTCTCCTTTCCTAATCAGCTTCTCTGTGAAAGCATTTCTGATGGCCTGTAATGTGTGGGGTCCTGGAACAGAGAACTGGGGGGAAACAACAGGGGAACAGGGCCACAAAGCCTGAAGGGAATCTGCAGTCACCAGGCAGATTTGTCTTATATTTGCAGCTGACCTGACATTTGCTTTTCAGAAGGGGGAATATTTTTACCAAGCGAGGGACACAGCAGGGTATTATCGATGATTAAAAAAAAGGGAGAGAAGAGACAAAATATACAGCGAGAGCTTTGAGAGCATTCCATGGAAGGAGCTGATCCCAGGCAAAGAGCACCCTCAGTCAGCAAACACCATTCCAGCAGCTCCATGGTTGACAGGCCAGGGAAAGGTGCCAGAGGAATCACGCTCTCCCTCCTTCTCTTCCCAAATTCCTTGCTCCAGCCTGGAAGGGTTTCCACACCTTATGCGCACATCCTCCTTAACTGTGCAGCTTCTGCATTCTCCTTATCCTCCCTCTCTTCCTGTGTTTTAGGACCTGCTTTCTGTTTGTGTGATTTTAAAAGAACCACCACCACCCCCCTTAAGAAAGCGAAAGCCCAATCCTGGGAAGGAGAACCAGGGAAGGGAGAGCCGAGAAGAGACGGGAAGGCACGGGAGGAGGTAAATCACAGCTCTTGGGGAGCGGGCAAGGAGGGCACAGCCCAGGGCAGGAATACGCCTTTCCCCCGCCCCAGCCAGCCCTTTCAGTGCAAAGCAGCGCTTTAAACCCCTCCCCTCTTCGCTTTCACTCCCGGCCCCTTTCCCTTCGCTGCTTATTCAGAAGAGACGATGCTCCCCATCGCACTCGGTCCTCTCCTCTGCCCCCCCTCTTCCCCAGCCCTTTGAAAAGCTTTCCACTCGCAGGAATTTGTATGGGAGAGAGCGGGAGCAGGGAAAGGCAGCGTTTGCCAGGCAAAAGTAAGGCTGCAGCAGTTGAGGTGAGGGTTTGGAGCACCCTTCTGCTCTGACAGAGCCAGGGAAACCGGGAACACCGAGGGAAAGGGGCGTGGGCATTGAAGCCTTCAGTGCCACATAAATGCTTCCTAAACACAGGCAGAGGGACGGAGGAAGGAGGCAGCCCCGGGATCCGAAGACGACCGCAGCTCTCTGGTGATGGCATGGATCGGGCGCTGGTTTACCTACCTCTCGGTCCTGCCACCGTCCATCACCCCCCAAGTGCCAAGGCACAAGACTGATGCGGAGCTGCTCTTAGCAAGTAAGTTACCTGATTTGTGATTCTTTTTTCCAGTTCACTTCTACTCTGACTTCTCCTGCCCGGAAGGCAGCAGGACAAGCAGCAGAGGTGTTCGTTGAGCTGAACCCCAGGTTTCTGTGCCCAAACCTGCCAGGGTGTGAGCTAGAGGTGTGCTGTAGCTCAGCAGCTGCTAGGGAACTCTTTGGGAAGCCAGAGATTAGACGTTGATCGGGGGGGGGAAGCACGGTGAGATCTGTAAAGGTGCTGTGCAGGAAAAGATACTGGAAATGATTAACTGGTCAGATACCAGATTAGTGGGGACCAGTGGAATACAATGGGCAGGGGGAGACGATCAGAAGCAGCCCTGAAATGTGTGGAGCGACTCCATAATCCTCACCTGGAGTCAAAGATTCAATTAATGTATAATTAGGATACTTACTAATCAGCTTAATGTTTAAACAGCCCTTTCATTTAATACAGTGGGAATACAGTTTGTAGCTCTGGGAGAGAGAAATGTGACTTCTTGTTTTACTGCTGTCCTTCTCACTCGTCAAAAAGGTGTCGAGTCCTCCTGTTTGTATCAGCACATGGTGGCTGGGAGTAACACGCAAACTTTTGTGTCTCATCCGGCTTTGACCTAAGAGTTTCAGGAACCGATTGAGAATTGGCAGTAACTGGTTGTGTTCCACAAAGCTTAGCATCCGACTTTGGGGATTCTGTAATCAAGCAGGTCCTTCCTCCTGCACCCTTTTAAGTAGGCAACTACACTGGATTGGTAGTAGATCAGCTTGGAGGGCAACAGAACTGGTTTCTCTCTCTAGTTCAGTCCAAGCAACCAGTATCTTCTATAATGCATGGGAAGTGTGTCTGGTAGTGTTTGTGTTGGCGGAGTTATTTCACCTTTGGGGTTCAGTTCTTTCTCCCACTGTTCCTACTCAGTTGGAGTTAAAGGATCAGGATCATTTCAGTTTCCCCATCTCTGGAAGGTTCCAGCCCAGTTATGAGAAAGGAAACAGAGTTTTGGAGTCTTGTTCCAGGACAAATCTCTGGACTCTTTTTACATGAGAATCACCCACTTTCTGTTCAGTTTGAGGCTGGGAGAGCTGCTTGGACGTTTGGGCTGAGCACTGGCACTTAGCCGGCAGTTTGGTATTAGGCAGGTCAGTTTGTCTCTCTGTGACTCATCTTTTGTCTGCACAATGGGTTCAATAGCACGGCCTTGGGGCAGAAGGAGCCTGTATTGGGTCACTTCATCTTTAAACTCTTTGAATGCAAGTTAATGGAGAAGTATGAAGTGGTGTTAACATCCTTCATTCCCAGTTATTGTATTGGTGAAATATCTAATGGTGGAGAACAGGAATGCGAGTGCTCCGGGGGCAGGACTTCCTCTTAGGGTAGATGTTCTCTTTTCCCCAATGCTCAGTATGTGCTGTCTGTAAACAGCCAGTAGCTGGAGAACCGGGAGTGTCTTATCAGGTCAGAAGTGTCCCTTTGTCTTTGGTCAGTTGTGTTGGATGAAAGATAGCGGTCACATTCTCAATGATGCCATAAGGTCCCCCTAAAAATAGTCTGGGGTAAGAGGACAGAGACAGAGAGGCTGCAGAGTGCCTCAGGCAGGCTCTTCCTTGGGGCTGCAAGGATCAAACTGGCATATTTTCAGGCTTTATTTGTTGGGAAAGTTATTATATCAAAATTAGGGAAACCACCAGGAGTATGATATTGTGATTGCATCCTTTGCACACGGGCTTTTCATGCTCAGCTCCTTTAATCACTCAAGTATACGGTAATTGGCTGGAAGCTGTATGGATTATATCCTCCCATCTGCCCTTTGCATCTGAATTGTGCTATGTCAAGTAGTAGATACCTCTTATAGTGTGGAAACTCCATGTTCCCCAGTCCTTGTTCTATGACTGATTGTTATAGCCTATACACAGGGGTCATGATGATGTTTCATAAGGCATTTTCTAGTTTTCACCTTGTTTTCTGGGGAAAAACCCCAACAACCCACCCCAGTTTCTATTCTTACTCCAGTTTAGTTTCTTCACTCTTTTCTGCATTGGTCTGAAATCAATCTATTTAATGTAACTGCAAACTTGTGCTGTGTATGGGATTTTTTTATACTTTAATCCATAGCAGTGGTGGGTAAAATCAATTTGAAACCTGTAGCTACTTGAGAGAACAGAAACATTATTTCTTGGTGTTAGAAATCATCTTGTTAGGTTATTCCTGCTGATAGATCAGCCTGTGTAGGCTTTTTGGAGTGATCTTTAGGCACAAATGAAGCAGACAGGGATTGTTCACTGCTGTTGGCTTGGTGGAAGGGGATTTACAGGCACTCATTTGGGATTTTGGAAACTCTAGGTTTAATTCCCTGCCCCACCACAAACTCCCAGCATGAGCATGGAGTGTGTAAGTGTATTTGTGACTCACTTCCCTGTCTTGAAATATGGGCAATAGAGCGTTTCCTTGCTTCACAGATCTCAACAAGGAAAATGTTAGGACATGTGATAACCTGTGTTAAACACTGAAATACTGGGATACTCCAGGAATGACAGCCACATTGCTACCTCACAGCTGCCCATGAAAGGACTGGGGGATCTTAGAGCTGTGATTGTTCAGAAGGGTAGACTGGGAGGGAATTAGCAGGTAAAAGTAAAGTACAAATGTTCATGTTGTCTTTGTGTTGCAGTCCTTCGAAAGACTAAATACCTTCTGGTTTGGTATTTCAGAGCCTAACAAATGCTAAGCAGAGAGGCACCATCATCAGCCACACGTGTACTTGGTGGGCATCTCCTCTGGCCCCACAGAAATCCCCTTGTACAATCATACCGGTTAGTGTGTTAGAAAAGCAGTGCTGTGACTGAACGCAAACTCAAAGAGGAAATTAAAGGGAGGAATCTCCCTGCTTCAGTGCTGAGTGAGATTACACTTTGAAAAGCAATTATTTGGATGAGGAAGGTTTTGAGCCACATGTTCATTAGCCAAGTGCCAGGAGTCTTCCTTCTTGTGCAGTTTCCTTGGGTTTGGATAGCATAACTCTTCTGCATCATTTTTTCCACCAGTGGATCTCCAAGCACTTTCCAAAGAGGCAGCCCCCCATCTCTATTCATAAATCAGAAAATGGAAAGATTACATGATTTGCACAAAATCTACCTGCTTTTCTTTTTCTTGCATGCCTCAAAGGGTGACCTCATGTTGCATTGTTGAGGGTTCAGTCTCAGTTGTACACAGGCAGTAAATAAAAGGATAGTGGGAGAGATATCTTTCTCAGGGAAATCAGAGCCCCTCAGTCAGTCACCACCATTTATCTTCAGAGTTTTAAAGGCCATCTATTCTTAGTATTCCTTCTTCCTCCATCTTTCTACTAGCACTCTGTTCAGCTATCAATGCCTTTATTCTCACTGGGTGCTACTGTTTTAATTTGCTCTCTTCCTCTCCCAGCTTTCCCATGTTGCTAGTGTCTGTCATTAAGAGTTTCAATCCCTCGCAGCAGTATAAAGCAAAGGAGAATATGTGCCCCAGAGGAACCTGGGGACCATAGCTGAGGCTCTGCTTTTATGTGGTGTAGGGCAACAGGCAGCAAAAGAACCAGGTCAGATTTTTCAGTAATGAGCTCTTGAATTTTACCGCTGTATTGACTGCTTGTTGGGCAGTATAGGGCTCTTTGGCTGGGAAAAGGGATGACAATTAAGCAGAATCCAGATTTGAGAGGTTTACTGAAGAACAGTTGCTCATTTATTCTCGGCATGCAAGAAAACACGAGCATCAGGTTTAAAACAAACAGAAAGAGGTACTTTTTTTCACACAAACTTGATGACAAATTCATGTCTTCAAGGTCCTGCCTGCCAGTTCAGACCTCTCCTGTCCCCACTGAAACGTGCATGCCCTTAAGCAAGATCAGTGCTTATTTACATTGAAAAAGTCACCATGGTCAGCAGGGGGGAAAGTTCCTTTCAGGCTTCTCTTGGAGCTATCAGAGCTCCATCAGCTCTGCAAAACAATGCCTCCTGAAGACACTTAGGTAAGCCCAACCTGACTCTTCTTCAGCACATCCAAGAGCCCTAAGTGTCACCACCTGCCCCACTTCTGTTGTCCGGGCAGAAGCTGAGCAACAGCAAGTCTGATAAAAAGCCTCTCTGAGAGGCTGGTAATACGCTGCCTCGCCTCTCCTTTTGCAGTAGCCTGTCCAAAGGGAAAGCAGCTTTGTACAAAAGTGACATTTTTATTATCCTGGCCTCTTTTAACCAAAGATAGTAAATGCCAAAGAAACAGGAGGGTGCATGGAGCGATTAGAGGCAATTTCACCTGAGCTCTCTTTGCTGGAGGGAGCAGTGATTTACAAACTGGAGTCTGAATCTGTGGGAGACGTTCACAGAGTAATTGCTGTTATCTGGAAGCGATGTGTGTGCTCAGCAGTGGCAGTGTATTATCTGAGGAAGGAGTTAACCAAATCCTCGCACAGGTGCAGCGCTCCTTTTATAGTATCTTGCAATTTGGGCTAATGTTTCCCAAAGCAGTTGAAACAATAAGGGAAGGACAGCAAATTTCCTAGAAGATTCGTGTGCCTTGGATCTTACAGACCTCATATCCATACAGGTGGGGAATCAAGGCTCACAATTAGAGAGAAAATACTGGAATCATTTGGAACAGAAAGCTGGTGGTCTGCAGACGCCCAACCCTGCTCTCAAACTGCTGACCAGTGTTATTCCTCTTAAAGAATCCAATGCCAAGGTTCATCTGCTGAATTATTTCCAAAAGCCACGTGCTGAGGTGATGCTTCTCCAAGGATGGGAGAGCTGAGGGTTAAATATAAGGAGCAGTCATAATGCCACCGAGGCTGTCAGTAAAGTTCATCTACAGCAGGAATTGTTCTGCTTTACTGGACCACTTGTTAGGTGTTCCTGGAGCTTTCTGGAAAGATTTCACTTGACCTATTGTTAAAGATCAGTAGCATTAGGAAAGTGACGTTGCTGGTCCCTTGGGTGTTCTAGTCTAAGCAGGTTTCCCTGCGCTTTCATTAATGTAGACTGTTTCACCACAGTGATATTTCTAGGGATTTAACCTTTTTGATTTTTGTATTATGTTCTGCTCTTTTTAATACCATTCTAGATCCTTTTGGCCTCTTTGGTATGAATCAAATACTGGAAACCTTCCACTGTAGATTAACCTCTTGAAATTGATGGTGCTCTCTTCCGTAGTGTCAGTGAAACTCAGCTGCAGATAAAACTTCTGCAACAAAAGTCTCTTTAAAGCAACTGTTTTGAAATTAGAAACATGCAACACTTGCCTGGCTTTGCATTTCCGCACATATATTCATCGAAAGCTTTTTTAGTCCAAATGGAGTAATTTTAGATTAGTCAAACAACGCTGACAAAGATCAAAAGTAATACTGATAAGAAGAAAGCAAAGAGGTTCATCTCTATACCTAATTCTCTCTAAATCAGTGCATAGGATGTTTCTTTCCCTATTAAAGAGGTGAGGAAAAAAGCGTGTGATTGTTCTGACACGCACTTGGCATATGCGTTTGCATGTTGTGATGCAAGATCCAGTGTGTACCCTTAGAATTACAGACTGGTTTGGGTTGGAAGGGACCTTAAAGCTCATGCAGCTCCAACCCCCTGCCACGGGCAGGGACACCTTCCACTAGAGCAGCTTGCTCCAAGCCCCTGTGTCCAACCTGGCCTTGAACACTGCCAGGGATGGAGCAGCCACCTTGGCAGCATCGAGCAGACGCTTTGCACACAGAGACACACAGTAAGGCATAAGGCAGCAGAGAGCCAGACCAATGCTCCAGGCATGCTGGATTAGCAACAGGTAGTAGAAAATGGCTGAAGATGTATCTAAATATACTATGAGCAGCTCTCAGGCGTCCTACCTTCAGAGTGAAAGAAATAGAGGTAGGGATTAATATTCTACCCAAATTCCAGATGTTGCTGAGGAAGGGAACAGCACAGTCCCGGGGTACCTATCCCACATCATGTGCAGGGGGGAAGCAAACCTGATTCCTCCTAATTTACCATCCCAGCATCATTAATCCTTATTATTTCCCCCTTCCTGTGGCTGCACTGGCTCAGCCCTGGCTCAAACTCTTCCAACATGGCACATGTGCCAGACGGAGCAGCTTTGGGACTGTGCTGTGGACAGATGGCTGGGCTCCCTGGTGAACAGAGCCAGCGGGTATGGTTCCAGCAACAGGCTTCATTGCAGTAATGATTGATGGTGACTTATACAAGGGCTAAGAGTAATTCTTTGCTGTTAACCAGACTTGGCTACAGCAGAATGGAAGTGGAAATTTGTTGCTTCATTTATTCATCCTGCCTCTGCTTCCTTCCCACCCACCCTTTGTGCTTTTTAATACCAAAAAGATGAAGCTACTTTGCTCGGTCTTAAAATTGTCTTTCCCAAGATACTCGTAATTGTATCTCTGCACCTTTTCTCATTCACAGGCACATAAGAAGATTAAAGATAGAGGTAGCAGTAATAGATTTAGTTGGGTTTTAATAGGATTTGCAAGGACAATGCAGAGAATGAGCACCATAGAAAATACTGCCACTCTCTCTTTGATACCCCAAGGCTTCTTTAGGTAAGCTTTCACAGAGATCTTTGTCTGTGCCCTGCATTCAGAATCAGGACTCTTGTTTTTCAATAGAGCATATGTGGAGTATCTAATCATCTTGGTAAACAGGATGTCACATTATAACCTGCAAAAATCATTGCAGCCATCATTTTGTGTTATTTCTTTGTGTCTTGTGGGGCAGTTTTGCATGTCAGCAGTGGGCTTTTGAATAGCTGCTTGTTACATTACTGAAAGTGTTTGTGTCTCATGTCAGATGAGTAAAGGGGTGGTTCTGATCTATCTGATTAACTGGATTCATCACACCCTCAGATGTGGAATTCAAGATGCTAAATGAAATGCCTATTTCACTTTTGGAGCCAGAAGAATTTGGAGGAGGGGGTGGGTGCTTCCAGAAGGTGATTCAGCATTCCTGAAATCTGAATTATCCATGGAGGTGTCTTTCTCTGCTGACTGTTGGGGAAGCCTTCATGCATAATTTAGACTTCAGTGAGATGTAGGTAGACAGCGGTGCTCAGCGTTTTCTGTTCATTACTAAGGTTTTTCTTGGTATGCACCCAAACCCTGAGGCATCAGAAACCTCCAGACAAGTTGCTGTATCTTCACTTTGCTCCTAGTTGTGATCTCCAGCAAACTTTGGGTGTAAAATAAATCTGAGGGCAAAAAACAACACACCCCAAAAATCCCTTTAACAAGATTTCCCCATCTCATGATTCCCAGCCTTGCCCATCACCATGTCTTCTGAGGTTCCAGTAGTGCATTAAGCAAAGTGGCAGCGGGTTCGTGTTTGCAGAGGCTGTGTGTTATGAATCAGTATTTAACATCCAGTTTCATGCAGCATTGCCTTTCACAAGTGGCTGTTGGGAGAGAAGTGCTGAAGCCTTTCAAAGTGTTTCTGGAGGAAAGACATAGTCCTAGAAAAAAGCTTTCCTGATGTAGAGTCAGCCTCTATCCCAGCATGGGGCAAAGTCTGTCAGGGTAGCATTAAGATTTGCTATATTTGTTGTCATAATGGTTCAGACATTAAAACAAACTGGGTTTTGTCTCAGCTCTTTTCCTCCTATCTCAACCTTCATTTGTCTGTTCTCCTGCAGCACAGCCATGGCCGGAGATTCTAGGATCTTCATGAACCAGGACATGGACATCGGAGTTACATCCAGAGAGCCTAAGAAGATTCCCAAGCAGGCTCGGGATGATGTCCCCATTGCCACCGATCGAACCCGCCTCATATCAGCAGAGGGTAAGAAGCCACGTCAGCGTTACATGGAGAAAAGTGGCAAGTGCAATGTGCACCATGGCAATGTCCAAGAAACCTACCGGTACCTTAGTGACCTCTTCACTACGCTGGTGGACCTCAAGTGGCGTTTTAATCTGCTTGTGTTCACCATGGTCTATACCATCACTTGGTTGTTTTTTGGGTTCATATGGTGGCTCATCGCCTATATCCGGGGAGACCTCGACCACCTTGAAGATGAGAACTGGATCCCCTGTGTTGAAAATCTCAGTGGATTTGTTTCTGCTTTTCTGTTTTCTATTGAGACTGAGACAACAATTGGGTATGGCTATAGGGTCATAACAGAGAAGTGCCCAGAGGGCATCATACTGCTCCTGATCCAGGCTATTCTGGGCTCCATTGTCAATGCATTCATGGTGGGGTGCATGTTTGTTAAGATCAGCCAACCAAAGAAGAGGGCTGAAACCCTCATGTTTTCTAACAATGCCGTGATTTCCATGAGGGATGAGAAGCTCTGTCTCATGTTCCGTGTTGGAGACCTCCGCAACTCCCACATTGTCGAGGCTTCCATTCGAGCCAAACTGATTAAATCCAAACAGACCAAAGAAGGAGAGTTTATCCCCTTGAACCAAACAGACATCAACGTGGGATTTGACACTGGAGATGACAGATTGTTCCTGGTGTCACCTCTTATCATCTCACATGAAATCAATGAGAAAAGCCCCTTCTGGGAGATGTCCCGCACCCAACTGGAGAAGGAGGAGTTTGAAATTGTGGTCATCCTGGAAGGAATGGTGGAAGCAACAGGTAAGAACATGTCTGGTCACAGTTTTGAGGGGGGAAGGGGAAAGAATGGAGTGCATTTTGGCCCTAATATTTTATTGTCAGTGTCACCTGCACTGAGAACATGTTGGGATTTGTTCTTCTCTAGTGACTGATTTAGGTGGGATATTATGGTCTGAGATAACCAGCAGTTAAAAGATGGCTCCTTTAGCTCATGTTATAGTGTTTCACTCTTTGTAAGTCCAGGATTCAGATGAAGGGATTGGTCCATGATCATTTAGAGATGATCTGCAGGGAAAAAAGTAATGGACGAAGGAATTAATGCTGCCTCCTCTGCTCTTGTTTCCTGTGATCAAAATTCATGGTGCCTTTTTCCATTTCTTCTCTGTATTAAAAATTGGCTGTAACTGTGCTATTTCAGGTATTACTGTCGTGCTGCTTTTTAATGGAGGCAATGAAGGAAGTGGCCAGGTATTACTATATCCCATAAACCAGCATGTGCCGAAACCAAATGACTTGCATATGATGCAGGACATGCATTTTCAAAAGCAGCTCAAAGAGGAAAAATAGAAACTATTTTTGTGACTCTTGCAATCAAGCAGCTTAAAACAATGCTGTGTAATGGGTAGATTTGGAGATCTAGTCAGTTGATTCCCAGTTTCCTCCTATTGGGGTATTTGTGGCAGGCAATGAAAGAAGTCTGTGTCTGTGTATAATAAATCTACACCTAGCTTTCCAAGGTGTAGAAAAGCAAATGAGTACCTTGAGCTGAGAGAGTGGATGGCTACAACAGCCTCCAGGCTCCTGGCCACAGGTGGGATGCAGTGAATCTCTGAGGGGTCTGTGCAGGGGTGAAGATGCTTTTACTCTGGACGTGGCCCCATGGGGTCATTTTACCACTTGCAGCTAATTCATTTATGCTGGCCTTTGAGGAAGAGCCAGATTCTGGCCCTTGGTTACTATTAATGCTCTTCCCTTCTTGAGATTTGTCCTTGTTAGTCTCCTAACAGCCAGATGCAAGTGGAAATATTCTCTTCAATTCTTGCACCTCAGCCCTTTGCTCTTAAAGACTTTGCTCTGGAGAGCTAATTCAGTTTCCCAGTATCTCCTTTCAGTCATTAGGTGAACAGCAGTAGCTGACTTTCCCAAACAGAGCTAATGAGAGGTTATGTGTGGGTCGCACTGTACCCAGGTTGGAGTACTGTGTTGCAGAAGTGGAATTCATTTGGCATTACTAGGCAAATACTCTTTCCGAGCAGAGTATTGCAGAGCTGTGGCAAAAGAAGGGGTGGGTGGAAAAAGACTATCAAAGGCAAAGATTTGCAGTGGAAGCTTATTTTGTAGCCTAAACGTTTACTAGATACTAGAACCTCCTAATCTGAGCATGGAATGCAGTTCCTTGTTTGTGCAAAGCCTCTTTCCTCATCACACAGTGACACTATCAAATGCTGTTTGAACAGCTACTGCATTGCCTTCCTCTTCTGAAAGCTCAGCTTCTGCTCGATCTGTGTGAGAGGAAGTCATTATCAATAACAACCTCAAAATTAAAAGCATGGCATAGGAATAATACTGCTTTACAAATGGGCTCCTCTCCCAGAGGGATTGTACAGGCCAGTGCGTAATGATATTAAGAAGCAGACATCTGTGAAAATGAATTATTCTCATCTCGGAAAACAGGCTGTGAAATTCCAAAACTGGGGCTAGAAAAGCCAGTTTGCCTTGAACTTAGTGCAGCCTGGACCTCAGATGATGCTGTTGTTCGATTCAGACCCCGAGATGAGGGTTTTCTGCATGACATACAGTAACTGGCGAGGGGGGTGATTCTTTGCAGTAGTGTTTGTGCTTCCCTGCCTTGTCCTTACACTTTGTAATATTGATCAAGCAGTTTGGGGGACATTACTCCCTACCTCTATACCTTCAAATTTGCTCCAATCAAGTTCTTTGAGTTCTTTCCTTCCTATTGTATTGTTCAAGTCCCATTTGCTCTCAGGAATGGTATCATTTACTTGCAGCATGACTTCTATGAAATCATGAGACCGTTATAGCCTGGTCAGGTTCAGGGCAGTGTAAAAATGCATGAGACCATTTGTTCCCTTAGTAACCCCTATGAAAAAGGAGGACCCAGCATCCCAGTGCTGGGGAAAATACAGTTCTGTTTATTCATAAGGTATTTTGAAAGCACATCAAAAAGGCAATTGGCAATGTTCAAATAACTGAAGAATATAACTTTACCCAGTAGCTTTAACCAACCATGCACATATTAAACGTGTGATGTGTTGTCTCCTCTCCAACCACCACCTCTTCTTACTGACATTGAAGCGTAATTCTGGTCCAGTAGAAGGCAACAATGGTAAACAGCTTCAAATGAAAAGCATGGAATAACTTGACACTTGAAGCCGTTGGAGATCGTTTACAAAATGAAACATTGTGGTTTGAAACAACGCTTTTAATTTCCAAAACACTTCCAGTTGTTTGTTTTGTGTCTTAAACCCATGGGTTTGTTTTCAAGCTGACTTGGATTTTAATAGAAACACATGAGAAACACCCTGTTTGCAAAGAAGAGAATACATATTCTGTTATTGCAGTGGGAGCTCTCTAGAGACCCCCTAACTAACCCACACAGCAGCAGAAAGCCACTGACATAGGGCTTTCCAGTCAGTATTTGAGTGTGGTTGAGGCACTGTGACTCCACAAGAGGTTAAAATATGCCGAAGGGAGACTTCAGTTTCTGGGCTGATCTGTTGTGATCATTGCTGACCACTGTAAAGGCAAAATCAATACAGATGACAAGTGCTCTGACTTCCAGGGCTGCTTCATGGGCAATTTGGAAAGCAGCAGCATCACTCACAGCGCTGCCTTAATGAATTGGTCACAGAAATTACTTTAGGGAATTAGTTCTCTTTTGCCTTATCTGAAAGGGATGCTTGTCAAGATCAGCTTGTGATGTGACCTGCAATAAAAAAGAAGAAAGCAAAGGTGGAAAATGTGCTTGCGAAGGGAATGCGGTTTTGTTTGCACTGTCTTTCTGCTTCCCATAGTGACAGAATAGGTCTTGGCTGTTGCTGACCAAACCTCTTTCCCTTACCCTCCTGGTCATAAACCAGGGCTGCTGGATCACAGAAGAGCAGTGGAGATTCCTGATTTATCAGTCTCTCTCCTACAGACCTCGCTGCTGCATCTGCGGTGTCCAGCATTGCTATTGTCTGGGCACAGAGACACCAGTGCTTGTTACTCTTGGTTCTCACTGGTTTTCATTAACCTCTTTTCCTCAGCACCATTAAATAAGCCACAAGAGACACTTCAGGTGCCCAATTAGTCCAGTCACTAAATGGTATTTTAATAAACTCTTAGGAAAGGAGAGGCGTATATATTTCTGGCTTAGAATCTGTGTGATAAAAAGTGGTTTAATGATTAGAAGTCATTTATCTTGTGCTACCCCTGTGAGAGCGTAGGCAAACAGCGGCTTTTTTGCGCCTCAATTTATCCATCTTTACAGAGGACATAGTAAAATTTCCTGGCTGTAAATATAGGAGAAAAAGAAGTAGCATAAGATATCCTGAAATCAATCATCATTTTTGTGAGAGAACAAAGGAGGGGTGAAATGATGAACCAGACTTTTCAGGCATTCATCATCTGGTTTGGGTTGTCTGCTTGGTTTGTTTTGCATTTTGCATATAAATAAGTTTTCTTTTCTGCAAGAAGGACCTCACAGAACTGTTACGGAAACTGCTTATGCAATTATAGGGAAGAGAGGGACATTTTGAGTCATTCTTTTCATGAGCTGAATCATCCTCCAGAGGTAGATGTTGGCAGGGTAGTCACAATAAATACCTTTGTGAGGTGCCTGAAGGTGTGAGCTTGGTGCTCTGTTTGTCCCTAGTAGAGACATGGCAACATAATCCAAGGTACTTAAATCATAAGGCCCTTTTTTTTTCTTCTCCATCTCCAGTGCCTGGGAGCTTTCACATGCCTGGAGAGCATTCAGATAAATTAAAATCCTATTACTTTCCTCTTGCATAAAAATCAAAGTGAATCAAGCCCAGACTTGTCCCCCTCGGAAGGAGACAAGGACAAATAATTGGAGGACCGTGCTCCTACCTTCTAATATTCCTTTTCAAGTTGGAGGAATACGGACTTTGTGGAGGTTACAGTGTTCTTTGGTCGAATTAACACATTTTAGAACCACCCAAATGTTGATGCTAATCTAAAGTCATGATATTGCTTAAGTGGAGCGATAGAACATTACATTTTTATAACTACTCCTTGCCATCCTGACTTGGATCAGCCTGTCACTGTACCTCTGAGTCCATCCCTTCTTTCTCTGTACCCTTGTAGTGTAGGTGGAGTATGTATTATGCAGCGTTAGTGCACCCAGCGCAAGGGGAAAAGTCACCCCGCGCGCAGCAGTGGATGAAAACAAGGACAGCGAAGTGAAATCACTCCCAGCAATATCTGTGTCTGAACTGCACAGAGCCCAGCAAATCTGGCAAGCACACAGTCAGCGTCCACATGACATTTTGCCAGCAGATAATCACTGAGCTCTGTGGCATTTAAATGAGGAGAGTTAATTTTAGGCTGATGAAAAATGTTGTCTTGACAGCCCCAGGGGTTGGGATATCTCTGCCCACTGAGGAAGTTCAGGCCGCGGAGCAGTACTGAAAGATTCAGCTGCACTGCTGATGTGATCAAACTGAAGCCTGTGGCAATTCTGGATCTGGTTGGTGGATCAGGTTTTGTGGTCTCTTCACCCTCTCCCATTAAAATGCCAGGAAAGGTACTGGCTGTGATGGAGTGTTTGATGGAAACGGACATTCTCCATCTCCTCTCTCTTGGAGAGAGACTGCTGGTTCATGCTGGCTACACCACCAGCTGCAGCGGCAGTTAGATTTGCCCTGTGATAATGAAGTTTGATTTTAACTGGTAACCTAAGGGCATACAAGACCTGGAAATCGGGAGCAATCCCTAGCAGCGAGCCTCTGCTCCACTTGCATAATCAGCGGCACCGCAAGCACTGAGATGTTCTGAAATCAGCAACTCCCAGCGAGTTGCTGCACAAAAACCAGGCTCCTCACTGCGAGAGTCATCAAGTAACTGCTTTTTGTCAGCACGCATTAACATTGCTTTGTCTCTGGCAAAATGCAAGCTGCTTGATCCCAACTGATTCCGATGACAGGCAGGTGCCTTATTGGTAGCGTTCCCTGACACCTATTTTACACACCAGTCTTGCCTCAGTGACTCTCTGCTCTGGAATGTAATGAAACACCTGGTTTAATACACACAGCAATATATTTGGTATCTTTTCATCTACTGGAAACCAGAAACGAGCCACTTAGAAGGGCATCTATGGCTGCCTTAAGCAGGCACATGCACAAGCTCTGTATTGATGTAGTGACTGCAGAGAGCAGACAGAAAAATCCACTTCTTGGGATTCTGCTATAATGAAATTATCATTAAAACTCTATGAAATGTTTATTGAAACCAGGAGACAGTCCTCTGCTCTCCAGCTGTATTGATACCTTGGTGCATCTGCTTATACCTTTGTATTTCCTGGTTTCAATCCAAATTGAGTTTTGTTTGCAGCTGAAAGCTGAGTAAGAAATGAGAAAGCTCTAACTAAAACTTGAAAGCTGAAGATTTCACATTTTCCACCATTGTACACATTTATATTAAGCATGCTTTATATTTAAACCAGATTGTCACCAAACACTTCTCTCTAACTGTACCAAATATCTGTACCATTTAAACCTAGAATGTGTAGTTATATCTGCTTCAAGAGAAGGATCAACAGCCTTTATCAAGTACTTATTATAAGTACAGTGATGAGTCTTGTAAGAGATTTTTGAGCTTTTGAACTCCTCCCTCAGTTTCTTGTGCTCTCAAAAGATGTCCAGGTTTCAGGGGTGCTACAGCACCGAGGTACAACAGCAGAGGCAAAGTTGGCATGGTTCTTGGTGGATAGGAGCAGATGGGGTAAGGATGCACTACACCCAAGGTGTCCCATGGCCCTCGATATGCAAGGCTTAGGAAATGAGACAGCTGGTTTTTTGCATCAAGCTCGCAGCCAGGTAAGAAAGATCTCAGTCTAGTGAGTTAATCCACCCCACTGCTGGCTGAACCTCAGCTACTCAGAGCAGAGAGGGCACAGTGCACATTGTCTGCAAGTGGAGAGTGGCTGCATCCGTATGCCTTTAATAGAAATAATGTTTATTGTTTCCACATCTCTTCTGTCATCTTTTTGCTGTCAGAGAGGCAACAATTAGCTAGGGACATTAGAGATGCGTTGATTAACCAGGGTGGAAAGCACAGGGCAGCCTGCAAAGCAGGCACTTAATGGAATTTGAAGCAGAGACAATGGTGTTGTTTACTGGGTAGTGTAGGAGTTGCCAGGCAGGATGTCCCCACGCAATTAAAACACCACTGCACATGTGCTAAAAAGGAATATTTGAATGGGATTATGGAGCAATTACAAGTTGTCTTATTGTGCTGGCTCTGTGTACCCCTGGGGTTACAGAAAGCAGCTACTGCAGGGAGCTGGCAGTGTGCTGAAAGCCTTGTATTGTTCCTTTCTTAATTGAATACTTACAGCCGGAGATAGCTGTGGTTGTGTCTCTGGAGTTCAGGTTAACTGTCAGGTTCTCCCCCAGGCAAGGAGCTATTTCAGGCCCTGGTTATAAGCAGGAGTTCCCTTAGGATGCCCACATCTAGCAGTATCCCTCCATCTTGGCCTTGGGGACTTCTAAAGGAGACCTTTCTGCTGCACTTGGAAGGCCATGGTAAGCATCAGCCAGTTCATTCAGGGACCTAATCTGAGTGTTCTCCTCTCCTGCTTTTGTTGCTGGGCTTTGAAGCCTCAGAGCTTGGAGAAGGCACTCGAAGGCCTTGATTTCTGGTGCAAAACCTGCTCTAAAGGCAAAAGGACAAGTTTAACTTTCTCTTTACCATGCATGCTGCTGGTTGTCTGGCATTCTGGCCTCTCGGCATGAGGGAGCAGCAGCAAATGGGATTAACCTTGCAGCCCTGGCCCTCAAAACTGCCTGTAATAAAAGCCGGTGCCCAGGGAGGTCAACAGTGTGTCAGCAACACAGCAGGACTCAGATGTTACCAGACTCCATGAGCTGCTCTTTGCTAGCTGATAAAAGGGAGTGAAGATAAACCACTGTTAATTCAATCCACGGTCCATCAATACACGGAATGCAATACACTCATGAGCTTGGCTGTGTGGCAAAATGGGGTTTGGTTCTGCCAACCCCACACAGTCGGATTAAACCCTCCAGAGGTACGTATAAGCCAGTTAACCGTATAAATCTATAGGAGCTTTGGCCCTCTCCACTTTCAGGATATGCATCTCTCTTAACCAAAGTGCAGGACGGAATTGCTGACACTTCCCTAGATGCGGAGGGATGGGGTCAGACACAGTGGTGGGTCACCTGCCATGGGGCCATGTGGGTCAGGCTGTGCGGTCCCTTGGCAGTGTTGGATGTCATTGTAGCTGTTAGTATCAACCATGCAAGCAGCACCTCAATAGAGCAATGTGAGGACAGAGAAGCTGCTTAGTAATACCAGACTTCAAAATCACAAGAGCAAGGTTCAGGGAGCAGTCTGAAGATGCAACGATGAATCCGTCCCTTTCCCTTTGAGTGCTCAGCTTTGACATGATAGAGGCTTTTGTGAGGCTTATTAAGGGAAGACCTTTTCTGTGCCTCAGAGCAATCAGGTATGGAGATAACATGAAAGTGCTTTTAAATGAAAGCAGTGGTTGGGTGAGCATGTAAGGAAGCTTTGCATTTAACATCCCTCTGTTTCCACCCAGGGATGACTTGCCAGGCTCGCAGCTCCTACATGGACACCGAGGTGCTGTGGGGACATCGCTTCACTCCCGTCCTCACCCTGGAGAAGGATTTTTATGAAGTCGACTACAACAGCTTCCATAGCACTTACGAGACCAACACTCCTGTGTGCTGTGCCAAAGAGCTGGCTGAGTCTCGCCGGGAAGGGCAGCTCCTCAGCCACCTCTCCAGTGCCACCCTCCTCAGAGAAGCAGAGACAGCAAGAGGGCAGGAAGAAGAAGAGGAAGGTGTCAGGGAGCCAGCAGGGTTGAATGGAGCCAATGGGACAGCAGGAGAGGTGAAAGAAGATCTGCTTGTATAACACCTGAACTGCAGGACAGTAGGTACCCACGTACATGTACTGGGAGACTGGTGAGTCAGGAGTTGACTGGGAGTCAGCTGAGATTTATGGCTGGATCTCTGCTGCCTGCTGCTTGATCCTGGCCAGTCACTGCCCAGCACTGTGCCTCAGTTTCCCTCCCCTTTTAGCTGTACAGTGAGCTTTGCACTCGTTTGCAGGACGTTTTGATCTCTACGAATGAGGCTCACTAGACATCATCACTGCTAAATCGAAATTCCCACCCATGGTCGTTGCAAAAGATGTGCATTGGGTGTTCAGAGCTCTTCCCCCTTGAGAGGGTATTTCAAAAGTAAAAGTCGAGAATGTCCCATCTCAGTGCGAAGAATGTGGTTTCATACTTTCACTTAATTTGTGAGTCAATGTATTGTAGACATTGTTACTGCTAAATTAAAGGAAGAGGAAAAAAAACCCTCTCTGGTGTGTAGTGTTTTGCTTTCATGATGTTTGCAAACAGATCTTTAGCATTTTCCTCCAGGATCACAGGCGATGTGTGACAATGTTCCCACCAACCCTTCAGCATGTTCAGCCCATGTTTCTGCCTGTCTTCTCAAACTGAGGTGCTATCTTTACATGCTCTTCTCATGGAGTCACTGACACGTTTCGTGTGCTCTCAGTGAGCAGAGAAAGTTTAGATCTTGCCCCAGTGTAGGTTTCTGTCTGGATGTCCCAGTTTCAGTTCGGGCTGATCATTTAAAACAAAGCACGTAGCCATCTGGGAGTGTGAAAGTATCAGTCTGCAAGATTCTCTGCTCCTCTGTGAACTACGTATTTAAAATGAAGGTTTGGGTGCTGATGTTCCCATGGAACACGCACTGACATAACTGATGCCATGATGAAAAACTGCTACAGATTTGAACAAGATGTCAGAAACATGGCCATGATGGGGAAAATCTCCTCCCTTACCACCCAAAATCTGGTGGGAAATACAAGATACCTGCAGAATTGCTTCTGTATCAAAATGGATTGAGGAATATGTAATATGCGAGAGTTGCTTTCTATGTAGGAAGTACTCTATGTATATCTGTGAAGCAAATGCACATTGTATTACAGCTGTACACTAGAGATCTTAAATATGGGTTTGTCTCTTTATTAATACAAGGACAAGATAAGCTGGAAATAGAAAGCAATAATCATTTCAACATGTGAACAAAGAGGAGAATACTATCCATAGGGGTCAGAGATACTGTTTAATTAGAGACCTAATGTTATAATGTAGATAGAAGACAAATTTGTATGGTGGAAAGATGGCCGTGACATGACTCTGTTGTACTTGGTAAGAACCAGCAGTCAGCTTGGCCTCCAGGATGTAGGAATTGCCATGATGTTATACGGTAAGTTTGGAAGTGAAGCACCTTCGTTTGAAATGCTTGTTAGTTGTAGAAAGCATTTTGCAGACTTGGAAAGGTTTGTGTCTTTCCAAAGGGTCTCATTTTAGGTTTTGTGCTCAGCTTCCTCCTGTTTTTTCCACACTAAGTCTCAGAGGAACAGAAGGAAGAAAATGGGGAGAGAAACAGGAGAGGGATTTGTTCTTTTTCTGAGACCCTCCCTTCTCACCCTACCTCAGCAAAACAGTAAGGTGTTAAAATTGGGTTTCAGGATGTTGTTATCCTGTAGCTGAAGTGAACTGCTAACGTAGGGGATGGTAACAGGAAGTAAAACTGGAATGGATTGTGCAAGTCAGAGGCAATTTCAGCCCCTCGGAGAGATGTTGCATAAGCTCTACCCAAAGAGCTGACTTGTCCAGCTCAATTCAACATGAGAGAGAGCTTGCTGTGTGTCCCTTACATGATGCAGGAGAGATCTTGGAAAATGGAATGAGATTCCCTCTGTGCCTTTCTTCTCCTTCATGCTTGTCACCTGCCACAGAGAAGCTATCCATCTTTAAGTACCCTGAAAGTTCTTTCACCTGCTCATTGCTCTTGAGACTTCACCCCACTAAACTGCTCTTTCCTAATAGTGTTGAGTATGAATGGTGCGAATCTATTGTGATGTATGGGAAGGAAGACAAGAAGTGGGTTTCTCCCCTCTTGAGCAAAGCCCTTAAGCAGCTCTGTACTCTGTTGGCTTCACAGACTATTTCTGTGTTTGCAATTTGCAGATATGCCCAAGTACCCTGTTGAATCAATGCTTCAAACAGTGCCTGTGTGAGCAGCAGCAAAAGAACTTCCCTGACTTCTGTAGAATAGGAGAAACATCCTCCTGTGGTTTTTAATAAGCTGAGCAGCTCTGGAAGAGGAGGATGTCCTCCAGAGTTGAATGCATTTGATGTGTACATGGTGGGGAACCATATATTCAAGTTGTGCAGCATGGCAAACAGGTATGTGGGTTTTGTAATGCAGTACAGTCTCAGGGGCAAAGCAGCCCCTGGACTATCCTGTGCTCTCCTTGTCCTGAAAGAGAAACTTAATTTACTGAGTGTATTGAGCTGTTCTGAAAGTAACAGAGAGAACCTTTTCCAGAGCTGTCATCTCTGAAAATGATCTCAGTTTCCCTGCTGTTCCACAAGCATATGCAGGACAATGAACTGTGGGAATGGAAGCATAATAGACCTGCTCTGTGCTGTAATGAACATTCAAATCCAAGTCTGCCTCTCTGATGTGAGTTGAAATAGCTCACATAGATATGTCCACCCACATGAATATTCAATATATACTCTACACTCTGTACTTCGAAAAATATTAACTAATACTCCACAAGAAGCATTTGCAATGTGTAAACACGCTCTTTGTGTACAAATAACCATTCACATTTATAGAATGAGCCCAGTAAACAAGCTAAAAATACATATTCAAAATACTGAATGACTGCATCTGCTTTATAACTATCACCGAGAAGCTGGATGATCTTTCAGGTAATTGAAGTCACTTAATTTCAGCTGTGTTTTTCTGTCCTGCAATCATCAGTGAGGGCTTCCCAGTGGAACAAAAGCTGCATTTCTTATTCTCTATTTTTCTCCTTCTAAACAGGATAGTTGGGAAACACCTTTCTAATGCAGAAGAGGTAATGAGCTGTGAATGGAGGCAGGGAGAGCTGCTTACAATAACTGTGCTCTGTGATTCTGCCTGGGTTTTTTTGGAGGGTTTAAGGACTGAAGTGGAGGGAGCTGCATTTCCTTGCATCGGTTCCTTTCCCAGGGCTGGCTGTTTAACTGGTGTGGTCCCGTGCAACGCCACTAATGCTGACCTATGTGCCTTGGATGCTTTTTCTCCTCCATGAGTTACCGTACACCTATTAAGCCTATTCATTCTGACTAAAGTATGTTTCTTAAACCAATCTGAAGATGCCTAGACATGAAAAATACAGTGTTTTGCCTTGGTAGTTAGTTCCAGGGGTTAATCAACATGACTGTTAGAAATGGACTTTTAGTTTTCATTTTAGTTTGCTGGCTTTAACTTCCACTCATTGCAAGACCTGTCACTCATTGTTTCCTCTTTCTTGTTATTACAAATATATAAGATCTTTCAGGTCCCTTCCAACCCAGTCCATTCTGTGAATCTGTGATATATCTCCATGAGAAACAGTGCATCACGAAGCTGAGGTAAGAGGGAATGATATTTATACTGAAGTCATTAATACCCCACGACAAGCTCTGTGCAGTGCCAGCCATATCTGCTGCAATATATGAGAGGCATGTGGCCAGGATGTGTTAAACAGCAGCTTGGCAGATGATGGAGACGACACTTAATTAAGTTCCAGCGGAATTAGGCAAGCTTTCAGTCCATGCATGAAAGTGCAGTTTCCATTCCAAGGCGAGTGAAACAGTCTGAATCTGATATTTTGACTGACACTAGCCAGGACTTATTTCCAGGCGTGCCTGGTCATTTAGATGGATGTGGGAAGGAGGACCTAGCTGTTGGCATATAGAAGAGGTCAAGGGCAAATTCCGATTTCATTTAGGGTGGTTGTACTCTCTCTGGGAAATGGGGTGATGTTCCATTGGAGCCCAGTGGGTCCCCCCAGACCACAACTCAGTTCTTCAGTAGCAGTGATTGTGCTTTCAGGGAAGGGAGGGCTGCATTTTCAGGCTGTATTCTAGAGCCACTGAAGCGATGCCACTGGTTTAGCAAGCACGGAAGGTCACTGGTATAAGCAAACACAGGCTTTAGTTCAGTGGGGTGATCTGAATTGGGGGGGGGGGGGGGGAGCACCAGCCTGGTTTAATTGCTTGGTGATGTCAGAACCAGGACTTGGAGCAGTCAAAAGGTTGGAAAGCTCTGCTTTTACTCACAAAGGGTTTGAATCGTAGGAAAGAGAAGAAAATCAATGCTTTCTCCTTACCTGTGTGTAGAAATGAGGTGATCAGTGTGTGTCATAATCATAGCGTTAGATTTGCTACTCTCTAGGTATCTCTTCACTCCTGAAAGTAGACTGGCTTTGTGCATACCTGATGTAGAGCCACTCTTTCTGCTTCTGCTACCCAGAGGGGGCAGGTGCAGCAAAAAGCTGAGCCTTTAAATGAACACTCACATACTGTAAAGAACAGTGGGCAAGGAGGAGAGGAAACACCATAGCTGAGCCATCTAAAGAGGGTTTTATTTGCTAAAGAGGATGGTAAAGTGTCTCCTGAATGAAGCAGCGGTCAGTTTCCTCACAGCAATAGCAGGAAGGGATAGCGAGGAGACCCCATTGATACCCAGGGCATGTGGAGTGTCTGTGGCACTTGAATTTAATACCAAATAGCACAAGTTATTTAAGGAAGGGTGATTCAAAATTGAAAGAACTCTCTTCTTCAGGCCTCATCTTGTAACTGAAATATTCATACAGCTCCTCATTCAGCATATAGCCATTGCAGGAATATCTGCAGTATGTCATGCCTTTTGCAGTTGCAGTGTGCAAATTCAGCAAAGCTAGCCTGCATTTTCTGAGTGCAAATACATCCATTTGGACCCATTATTCTTTCAATATATTTTCCTTGAAGGCACTTTCAATCAGTTTGAATGAAACTGTGTTTTTATAGTATGCACAAACAGCAACTACAGGCTCCCCTGAGAAGCCACTGAAATCACTGTGATTGATGAAAGGTTTTGGGGTTCATGTCAGAAAATCCCATTCTTAAAACAGGGTTTAATTTTACCTTGATCCTCAAGTCCTGCATGGATTAGAGCTCCCAAACCTAAATGCAGGTAAAGGCAAAGGTTGATAGAAGATTCTATGAATATGTTTCTGTCCCATAGACGAAGCAGATGCTTCCCCCTTCCCACCTTTGTTACCCAAATATCCAGTAGTGCCTACAAATCTTTGTGTACAGCTCAGTGAGCGGTGAGGTCGACGTGGCTGTTCCAATTGCCTGAAAGTGGGAGAAAAGCACTATAGGAAATCATAGAAATAGTCTGTCAGATAAAATACCTGGTGAGAGTCAGGATGACAACTGCAACCCTCCATGTTTATACAGGTTCATCCCTGAATGAGAAAAAACCTCAGAGTAACAGGAAAATTAATGATGGGAAAAGCTATTCAGTATTCCCCCCCCAACCCCCCCCATGTTTGTTCCGGGTTATTCCATCATGTGTCCATCATTGCCATGCCAAGCAAATGAGCAGTACAATCACTACTGGATCCGTGCCCCATCTGCTGCCCTCCCATACGGTAGCAGAGCTCAGCTGTTTCTCTTCCTCCCAGAATAGAAAGAGGAGAGGCAGATGCCAGGTGCAGGCAGGGAAAGTCATTGCCTGATGGACCCGAGGAGGCAGGCCAGGAGGGGTTTGGCCTTCCAGAACAAAACTCCTCTCATCGCCAAGCTGAATACAGAGACCGTGGGGCTCCAACAGTGATGGGGAGAGGAGCAGGACCAGGACCCAGATCCCACGGGGCAGTTGGCACAAGCCTTTTATAGCAAAGACTCTTTTCCCCCCACATTTAATTTCACAATGTCAGGTTGTATTGAATCATAGCTCCCTCCTGCCCTGTGCTTCCCCTGTCTGGTTTTATTTACCCATCTGCTTTCAGCCCTCTTGCAGTGAGGTTGCAAGCTGTTGTGCCTGCAGAGTTGTGAGCGCAGCAGGGCTGAGTCTTGCAACACACGTACTAGAGGAGCATAACAATGAACTGAATGAATCACTGCTCCTAGCTGGTGTAAATGAGCAGCCAGCCCAGAACAAAGTGCTGGGCTCCATTATATACAATAGTGAAGAAGCAACATAATTGGTGGCTAAGGCAATGGGCTGTGACTCTGAGAACTCACGTTTTATCCCTGACTTCCACTGACCTTTCCCTGTATGCTTCTGTGCTAGTCTGTGCTTACACATGTTGCTTTGTTTGGTGTATCATTACAATGCTGCGAGGGCTGGAGCAGCTCTGCTCTGGAGCCAGGCTGAGAGAGCTGGGCTGGTTCAGCCTGGAGAAGAGAAGGCTCCTGAAGGGGAGACCTTGGAGCAGCTCCAGTGCCTAAAGGAGCTACAGGAAACCTGCTCTCGTGGAAGGTGTCCCTGCCTGTGGCAGGGAGTT